ATTTGGGTTTTGGAGGCTTTCTTCTTTTAGAATCGATTTTTCAGGAACAATAAACCTCAAAATTAATCTCATCGAATAATCATTGGAGGAGATCAAAGTATTAGTACGTTAAACCTTTATATTGATTTTCATCGATTTTGAGTAGGTGAAATATAACTATTTTGATATCGACATTTCCACGAATGACGATCGATGACAGACGACTACTGGATGCCAATGACGGTCGAAAAAAATAGTGTCAAAAAGTGAATTATTTTAAAGTTTAGTAGCGGAATTAATAACACTAAGTTCAGTATTTTGAACGCTTTCGTTTGGAGTATCAATAGCCGCACCAAGATGAGGTCATTTTATCTATGTCGACGCCGTGATAAAAAAATTTCCACAACATCTTGTCGTTCAAATTTAATGATACAATAATATCATTGAAGTCAAAATTTAAAATTTAATGATATAATTAGAGAGAATAAAAGGACAATGATATAAACGATACTGTGCTTAAAATTCGTCAGTACGATGTATTTTACTCTTAAAAATATCGGATCGAAATGATTAGTATTTCTCAGGACTTTTGAAGATCGTGGGCAAGGTTGTTGTGGTCGCTAGGAGTGAATTAGGTTCAATGTTTGCATTGTGGGATGGGCCTTGCAGGTCATGTCGTTGTTAAGTGCCCCTGTTGCTCCCCTCCGCCACTATTTTACATATGTCGATGGACCAAATCTTGTATTCCCACTCAATTATTAAGAGTCCCCCCCTCCCCACAAATGATTCGATGACGCATTCCATTTTAATAATTGGGTAAATTATGCGGTTAGTACCTAAAATTATCAGTTTTAATTTATTTTAATACCTAAACTTCTAAAATTTAATTTTTGTTTCATTTCGCCGTTAAAAATTTTAGTTTTTGTTTCATTTTAGTACTCTGTTCAAAATTTAACATTAAGTTTTGAAAAAAAAATAAAAGTTTAGGTACTAAAACATACCAAAACTGATAGTTTATATACTAAACGCGTTAAGTTTTTAACGGCAATGTACTTAAATGAAATAAAAACTAAACTTAATGTATGATTTTGAAAAAAATGAAAGTTTAAGTGCTAAAATATACCAAAACTAAATGTTCAGATATTAAAACAGAACAAAACTGATTGTTTAGATACTAAATACGTAATTTACCCTTAATAATATGGGCACGCTGGCAATATGGCCATTGACGGGGTAGACCTCTTTCCTCCCCATGCCGACCTGCTTAACGGGTCATGTGCCATTGCTGGGGTCTTCGGTTCCTTTATGTGCTTATGACATGGATCTGTCTCCTTGTAGTTGGGGTTATAATTAGTAAATCTTGTTGTCACCACCACGTATTGAAATTTAGATTAAATCCACATGATGAAAACAAGTATTTTAATCTCATTTATTGAACCGTTAATTAGAGCTAGAGTATAATAAAATTAAATTACAAACATTAGTTTTTTACTTGAGATCCTTCAGCTTTTTACTGTTGTATTAGGATGAATACAATATTTTATGTCAAATGATTGTGAACTTTAAAAGTTATAGTAGACATGTAGGTATATAAAATTGAATCTTTAATAAAAAAAATATAAGAAAAATACCTAAACTATGAAGTTATAAATTTTTAAGAGTGCGAGCACACTCTTTAATTGTCCCTAGATTCATTCCTATTGTTGCATAAGTTTCGACTTAATTTAAAGTAGATTGTTTTCGTTTAAAAAAATGCAATTCAATAAAAAAACATTTATTCTATGTAATTTCTTGGAGTGACAATATTGTTCTCCTTTAGAAATATGAGATTTCATATTTTTTTTTGGGGGATAAGAAGAAAATATCTCTAGACAAGAAACTGTTATTGTGATTGACATGAACAATAAGACATCCAAAAAGCTCAAAACCCCAATGACTATTTCATCAGTGCTATTTTCCGTGAGCATTACCATGATTGTCATTGCAAGTCGGCAAAATCCAAGAGCTTGTGGCTTTGGCCTTTACTTCATTCTTAGTATGTAATATTCAAATATAATATTTTTGCAACGCTCCAAATATTTTTAATATCTGATTATTAATATCGAATATGGAATTAATTATTAATTTAATTAATAATGTTGGATTAGACGAAGTGTTATATTAAGTATATAGTGTTCTAATGAAGAAATGTTTATATTGAGAAATTGAACTAATTTGTAAAGGTTGCAAAAATATTAGAGGGAAATGACATTTTTAAGTGGTCTAAATATGTGTTAAACGCTAGCTCAATACTGATATGGAGTACACTAAAAATAAATTATAATCACATATGTATTTTTTACAAGAATAATTATATATTGTGTTTTAAAAAATAGTCGTTTAAATTTTATTGATGTTATTTTCTAAACGTCGTGTTCAAATTGTCATTGAGTAGGTGTACATGTATTTATAATTTGAAGTTAAAATGTATTCAATTATACGTTTAGAATTCAATCTCTCTAATTTTATGTTTAATATTATAGTCCCTCTACTTTTTTGGATTCAAAAATTAAATTCCAATCGTTAACATTATTAAACTTCTACCGTTAAATTTATTTCATAGCATCATTTTTTTGGTTACATGGCTTCAAAGTCCATGTTTAATTTATTTCAACATGTCACATCAATAAATTTAAAATAATAATTTTAACTATGTTAACAATTGAACTTATTTTTTAAAAGCTATAAAGATAGAAATTAAAATCTGAATTTACAAATAATATAGGGAATTTGAGCATGCTTTAATCACAATTTAATCCCCTTTTACGTCAGATTCAAATTTACCCAATGAATAAGACCTACGCCCTGACCCAATTTTACCCCAAACTTTGGGTTTAAACCATAAATCAAGCATTTCTTAATCCAAAATTTTAGGGGTTTTTTTTGGCCCAATAACTCAAGCGGGTAAATTATTTAGGGTATTGTTTTTTCCCATCTTTTATTTTAAAAAATACAGCATTTGCTATAGTTCATTAGGCTCATGTGGATCATTATTTTATTTTCATTAATATGACTCGTCACCTCCATTTAAAAATTATTTTTTAAAACCTAAATTTATAAAATTTAAAAAAAATAGATGAAACTTGTCATCTGGTGACGAGTTCCTTCAAATTCATAGAAGAAAATTAGTCATTTTGTAGTCACTGGTCAACGTATAGACGGGCAAAGGTCAGCAACGGCTACTTGGAACTAGTCACCTCAAGGTGACGAGTTCGACTGGGTAAAATTTAAAAAATAAAATTAAAAGAAAATAAATTTATTCATATTTTAAAAATACAAAGTAAATAAATAATTGTAAAAAATAAATTGTTTACAGAAAAAGTACTTATAAAATTTATCTATATTTTCTAAGTTCTTGAAGATGCCAAAGAGTTTTCGAATGATAATGGCGCGAGTACACCGGGTCGTAGGCCTTGATTGTCGTTGTCGTCTTCATCTTGCCGAGGAGGTGTACTTAACACACTTTGGGATCCACCTTTGAATTAAGATGATGGGCGCATGGAACTTAACGCCATCATCGATGTAATTGATTCGATGTGGCTGCTACTTTGTTGATCATATAGGATATGGTCCCATTCACCCGTAAACTGCATGTTCTGTCGAAGCACCATGAGTGTTTTACGGTGCATCCCATGAACCTCCAACCCAATCCAGTTGAGTCTCGATTGAAGTATGATATGGAGGATAAAAAATGAAACTAGCTTGAGATGCATAATAGTACTCTTCAGCGGCAGATGCTGAAGTGAAAGAAGACGATGACAATGCTTTCTTCTTGAACTTAGACTTAGACTTGACGCATGTAGCCTGATGATGTTCCCATTCTCCCCTCTCTTCTAGTGTCATCATATATGGTTTCCCATTTGCTTCATAATTTCGAAGATAGGGAGAATAGTCAAAATCTAGGTCCAGCGGTGTAATGTCATAACGCGGGGGACTGATAGTTCACGTTGATTCCATAGGTTGATGTAGTAAGCGTGCCTCACCACAATTATCGGTATGTTTCCCATGCGTATCGATTATATGGAGCGTGCCCATATCACCCATGTGCGTAAGAATCGGCTGATGCGACACAAACGGTCGTATCACTTTATCAGCTGCGTGCCACTCAACAATCACATAATGCAATAACGGCGTCACAACACACCATAAGTTGGACCCCTCAAAAAATCACGCCGGTAATAATTGATTGATCTCCTCGTCAACAAAGCCAAGAAAACTGCAAATATTAAATATCAAAGTTATTATTTATAAAGTTAAAAAAATAAAATAAAAACAATAAAAATATCGTATATCATAACGTATATCGATCCTCTTCTGTATATCTCATGCAGTGGCACCGCCAGCTTCCTCTCGGTGATTTTATGATGCCATCTAAAATATTTAAAAATAAAAAAATATTATAAACAAATAAAAAAATAATTAAATTTATGAAATTAAAAAATGGTTAAATAAATGAAGTTAAACAATTTCCTTGCAGCCAGTAGAAACTTGATCGGGGTTGTTGTAATTGGCGTCAAAAAACGAGAATTGATACCAATCTCACGACTACAACAGTATTAGACAGCTTGCTACATCGACTTTTCAACATGGCTAGACAATTACGGAGTTCCCGATAAAGACAACAAAGTTCCCGATAAAGAAAGGCCAAAGTCACTGAGCCTTAACTAGTATTATGGCACACAACAAAGTCTTCCAAATATCGCAGATATTGAGTGTGCCCCAAATTACCAGATTTACCCGATAATAGTACCCCTCTGATCAATTAGAGAAGATATGCTCGGGACGTGAAAATAACCTCCTCCTCAGAAGAGTCAGCAATCACTTGTAATTTAGACTCCAACCACATTATCAGTACCTGATAGCCCTTTATGGCATCGGATGGTGGCAATTTTCCCAAAACTTGGTAAACCAACATCACAGGGTCGTAAATATTCTGACTCACCATGGGGGCTCCATTCACAAGAACACCGAATTGGTAAGCGATGTCTTCCAAAGTAATCATCGCTTCACCACTCGGGAAATTGAATGTGTACGTCTTCGGCCGCCAACGTTCGATCAAAGCCTCAATCAACATCAGGTACAACTTGAAGCCACGTACAAATATGGCCGTAAATAGACCAGATTGTTTTAGATATATTGTCATCCGATGATGCGGATCTTTATATGTCACCCCGCGCTTACGAATATTCCATTAATCTTTTGGCCCGCGTTGGATCGACGAAATATGGACTTTATCCAGGCGCAACATATATTCTCGGGTTACCATTTTTTGAGATTTTTGACAGAACGTATGATATTTTGTAATTTTTTTAGATTCGAGGTTTAGTGAAAATCAAAACCCCAAACCCATATTTTATAGTCTTGCCTCCAACGGCTATAAACAACTATTTTTTTTTTTCAAATTTCCAACCGAACTTGTCATCTAGAGGTGACGAGTTTCAAGTGACTGTTGTCGACCATTGCCTATTTGCCCGTTGATCAATGGCTACAAAACGGATAGTTTTTTTTAATTTGAAGGAATTCGTCACCTCATTACATCGAGGTGACTAATTCCATCTAATTCTTTTTAAAATTTATAAATTTATTTTTTAATTAAAAATAATAATTTTTAAATGGAGTCGTTATTTTGAGGTGACGAATCATATTAATAATAATAAAATAATAGCCCACATGGAGCCCACTTCTCAAAGACCATTTAAAAATAATATTTGAGGAAACTCGTCACCTCGACGTGACGAGTCCCTAGCGGACTATAGTAAATGTCGTATTTTTTAAAATAAAAGTTGGGAAGACCCAATACCCTAAATAATTGACCTGCTTGGAGTATTGGGTAAAAAACCAAAATTTTATGTATACATCCTCGACTACATTTAATGTAGGATCGAATCAAATATTTTAGCAAAATTTTTTCTAGCTCGAGTTTAGTTTTAATTTTTTTTATTTCGAATTTGAGTTGAGTTCAACAATTTTAAGCTAGAGAGCTTTTAATTCGAGTCGAACTTAACTTTAAATTTTTTTAGTCGAGTCCAATTTGGTAATACTCAAGCTCGACTCGATCATTTACAATCCTACACCTGACTTATTGTTTAGGGTAAATTTTATATCCGATTTGATGCGACCGACATAAATATAATTCTCATTTTTATTAGTTAAACTAATAACCTAAATAAAAAGAGAGGTAATTATGTTATTTTCTCAAATCAGATCGCTCGGTATAAAAATTTCAACCTAAACTTATGACTGATTTAACTCGATTTCATCCTTTAAAAATCCAATACAAATTTAAGGTTTTAATAAAAATTTAAACTCCATAAAATTAATCAGATCGAAATCCATTGTGCGTACTCGTAAGTAGGATGTGCAAAAAAACCCGATTCGACCGATCCGTTTTTTAATTTTCGGATAGTTCGAATCGCGTATCCGATTTTTTTTTTTGGATTTTCAGATATACAAATCGATCAAAATCTAATTTCGAATTATCTGAAAACCCGAAAAAAAATTGGGCTATATTATTAGCCCATAGCTGTTTGGGATATATTATACATTAGTATTGCAAACTTGTTCTGCCAGACAGCTAAAGCTATTAGTCAACAAAGCCCCAAGAAGTTCGCTTCACTAATCCAATTCCACCTTGAACGAAAATCCACAGAACAAGGATGACGGAAACTTTTTGACTTCAAAAGCCAATAATTTGAAAATTTGGGGCAGCACCGGGGAGGGGAAGGTCTTCTCTCATGTCATGTTAATTCAAAATTCCAAATGAGCAAAGTCCTCTGCTGAACAACACCACAATGAACAACCCCCACCACAAAGCTCAGGTCCATCCATGAGAGGACACTTGACTCCACCTTTGAACTCTCGAGCATCTCTCCGCCTGTACAACACAAGGGCAAATACAGGGGGAAAATGATTATGCCATACTCAAGTGTCAACTACCACTACGTTTATCGCTATCACTACGAGTGATCAACCCAAGTGGCCCATAGCTCCACCGCTATCATTAAAAAGCCTTGATAAATCTCCATAGATATCAAATCAAGCATGATGATCTATCATCCAACAAAAAATGGGGAAAGAATGAAGAAATAAACAATGAAAATATAGTGAAAATGGGAAATCATCCTCTAGTTTCACCATATCTTTGTGAAATCATAAGAGCTATTAAGTGTTTCTTATTTGATTAATGCTTTTATTATGTTGATTTTTTTTTATTTTTTTGCAAAAAAATAATCGAATCTGGATCTGGATATTCAGATATCTGATCTGAAATTTCGGATATCCGATTATTTCAAATCGGATACAGATATAATTTTAGGTATACAAAATTTTCGAATATCCGAAAATTCAAATCAGATAATATTCGATATCCGATAATGCACACCCTACTCGTAATACAGTAAATGGGCCAAAAATTTAAATCAGTCAACCGGTTGACTTTTGAACAGAGAGACCAAAGGGGTTATGTATGCATGTGATTACAGGAAGGCAATCTGTTTTAATCTAGTCTAACCGCAGAAACATACGAAGGCATTTCCAAGGAAAACAGAGAAAGGGGAAAATGATAGCGCCACCGGCAAGTATACGGTGGTGCGCAGTCGTATTGACGCTCGTTGTATCCCTCTACATCTCACCGACGCCCGCTATTTACTGCGACGAAGACGACTGCTACGATCTCCTAGGGTCCGCTCCGTCACAAACTTCACTGCCCTTTCAGTTTTTCTTCTTCCTCTTAATTTTAACTTCACTTTAGTGTTTTATAGGGGTTTCTCAAACTGCTAATGCCTCGGAGATCAAGAAATCTTATCACAAGCTCTCCTTGAAATTGTGTGTTTTTCTTTCTATAGAAAAAAATGCTTCGATCTCTTTATTGTTTTAATTGTATCTTTAACTATAATTTCTATTGTTTTCCTTTTTAGTCATCCGGATAAGAATCCAGATCCGAAATCTAGAAAGTTGTTTGTGAAAATTGGCAATTCGTATGAGGTAACTACAATCCCTTCTCTTTCAATTTGCTGATTCTTTATCTGCGTAACAGTGAATTATGAATTTCTGATACGTGTCTCTCCCTATAATGTGGTTTTTTTGGGTTGCAGATATTGAAAGATGAAGCTACAAGGGAGCAGTATGATTATGCAATAGCACATCAAGAGGAGATGAATTTTAAGTTTTTGTTTAAGGCATTTTGGAAGTATATTATGCTCTGTGATATGAGAACTGTGTTTTTTCTTTGGCTTTATCACTCTTGTTACTATCATGGATCATTTGATTTCACTGCAGTTGATCTTACTCTGTAAGATTAATCATCAAATTTCTGTTTCATTTTGGTGTTTTACAATGCTGCTCGATCCTACCGAGCATATTATGGTCACAGAACGGTGAGGATTATTTTATTATATCTGCAGTTATTAAGTATTTTTTTCCTGGTTCGGATGAAGGTTTTGGATTTACTTGTTTCTTTCTGTCCTATATACGTGTTTTCTAGGATACACTTGCGGTCCTGGTTGGTGTTCTACTGATTCTTTCAGTTTTTCAATATTTCAATCGGTTGACCAGATATAATCAGGTGAGTTACCATCAAGTATTATCTAAATATTGCTACTTTCTGAATGTCAATGTTTGGCGGACATGCTTGATATTGGTAGATATATCACTTAGAAGTCCGAACTTTTTGCAATGTGACTTAGTATTTTGCAATGACATTGTCATATCTTCGAGAAGATATGCTACCAACTCAAGCTTACCTTACTGCTTGTTACCCCAAGAGTAGAGAGTCAGCAACAAAGATTCAACTCTACCCTCCCATCTCTAGCATTTCCCAAATGCATTAAATAAAGTTCAAATAGCTTACTGCTTGTTATGATAATAAAAAGGCATCACAGGAGAATTTTGTAGCATAACTGTTTCCAGTGTATGTCACATAGAAGTGCTTTCATTTCTCTTCGTTTGACCCTTTAATTGTTACTACTGCTTTCCCTTTTCTGGATTCAGGCTGTAGACAAAAACAGTCTGCGGGCATTGGAACTTGAACGCAGTGGAGGGACAACAAATATGAAGAAGAGTAACAGACAAATGGACAAGTATGCTGCATTTACTTTTCAGTTTTAGACCATCAAATTATACTCCAATATTTTGGTTTGTTTACATTAGACTCACAGAGGAGTGTGTTTTTGTTTACATTAACCACACATGGAGCAATGTGGTTTTGTTTACATAAACACAGTTTGAGCAATGTGCATATGCCACCCGTTAATCACCTTGTTTTCTTTTTCAATAGAAATTACCCGTATTTTAACTGTAGGAAAAAAGAGGAAGATCTCAGCAAAGAGCTTGAGCTGGACATTAAGGGAGCTGAAAAGCCATTCATCTGGGAATTAATTGGTGTGCGTTTCATTCTTCTCCCCTACACTATTGGCAAGGTCAGAATACCAGTTATGAAGCTAAAATAGCTGCAATTTCAGGTTAAGATTAGTAATTTAGTGAATCCCAAATATGTTGGTTATAGATGAGTGTTTGATCTTTGTAGACACATAATTTCGTCCCATTCTCATATCACATATTTATAATATATATATATATATGTTTATTTAACGTATATATATACATGTATATTTATTTATTATTTTATTACACTTGCAGGCCCATTACATGCAAATAAAAAACAACCCAAATCCAGTGACCCAAGACCAACAGTGGACCAACCCAACACGCAGCCCAGATCCAAGTCCTCAACCCGAAGCCAACCTGGAGCAGCCCGAACTGTCTGCAACCCGATGCAAGCTAGAGTTTTCCAACCCTAGCCCCAATTTCTCAGCCCAGCGCCGCAAGCAGAACTGCATGCCTCTCCCCCGTTCTTCTCAGCAACAAACAACCATCGTGCGTGTATGGGACTCCAACCAACAAGCATGCAAACAGCAAGTTTTATTTTGATTAGGACTCTACAACTGAGGCTTAAAATAGCAAATCCTAGGGTATAAATAAACATGTAATCGAACCCATTCAGGGGGTCATGAATACTACACAAATACACAAGAAATTATTCACGAAATACGTACTACAAGTTGTAATGAAATACTTGAAAAAATCGAAGCTTTTGTATCGATTTCGAAGCTAAATAAAAAGGTGAAATACTTTACCTCGTTCGATTTGTCGGTTGTATGTGTTTGTTGGAGTGATTATTTGCATTTGTTTTTGTGAAAACTCGAAAGATTTTTAAAAAACAATTGTTGATGATCGAAAAAGGGGGTTGTTCGAAACATTTTTTCTAGATCCATACCCCCACGAGGCGTTTTTTGAAAAACCATCTTGATATTTGAAGAAAGGGGGAGAGGATCTATCGGAAAAGCAATTTTTTTTAGGTGGGGCCACCGTCGATGAGTGGCGGGCGGTGGCCACTGTTCACGGCCCGTGTTTTTCATGGCTTAAGAACAAATGAGAGAAAATTAGAAGAGGACAGGGGGTTTTTCGGTTTGAAAGAAGAGAAATGAGATTTCTTTTTTAAAAAAAAATGGCTTAAATAGGAGACCCGTGGACCCTGTGTGACCTGCACGTCAACCCGACCCGGGCACTAGGGTTCGCGTGTTTTTGAAGATGGGGAAATCCTCATTTGGTCCCCCTGTTTTTTAAATATTTGATTTTGCCCCCTGAATTCGATGTTTTTACGTTAATCATCTTTAATTTTGGCCCCCCAATTTAATTTTTTTTTAAAATTTTAGTCCCTTATTATTGTATATATTTAATTTTATTTTATTATTTTTCATTTTTCCTTTCTGTTTTTTTTATTATTACCTTTTTTTAGTATTCTATTCAATCATATATTCCTTTTATCATTATATATATATATATATAATTATTTTTATTATTTTTTTATCCTTTTTTTATTTTTGGTTTTCACTTATTACTATTACATTATACTATTTTTATTTTTATTTTTTTCTATATTATTTTATTATTTTATTATTTTATTATTCTTTAGTCTTTATTATTATTATTATTATTTATATACATTTTATTTTATATATCTTATTTTTATTTTAATTTATTTTTTTCATTATTTTGCATTATTGGTTTCTTTTCTATTAATATTTTTTTCTCTTAACATTTTATGTGTAGGCATATTTTTTTTATTCATTTACTTATCTATTTTCTTTTTTCTTTATTCTGTTTTTTTTACTTTTTTTTATCTTTCATTGTTATTATCATCATCGTCTTTATTTTATGTATTTTATTTATTTTTACTTTCTTTATTTTATATATTTTTACTACTTTTTTAACTAACTCGTTTTTTGACTTCTTAAGGGTATATTTTTAAAATCTATCAGAGGTAAGTAATTTGGATCGTTAATTTTACCTTTTAATTTAAACTACAATTTTCTTAATTAAAGACAACTGGAAATTACGTACCGAAAGGGCAATTCAAGGGTGCTAACCCTTCATTGACTGTAACCGACTCCCGAATCCGACACATCTTCTGTTAAGACGTGGATCAGGTGAGAAATAAGGTATCCGATCAACCCGTTTTATTCTTAAAATAAATGATTAGTGGCGACTCTAACCCAATTATTCACGTCGAAGCCCAATTTCAAGCCCACCCGAAAGACGGTTTCGACAGCTTGACGACTCCGCTGGGGACAGGTAAGTGAGTCAGACTAAGGTAATTTCCAGTTGTCTTTTTAACGAAAAGGGTAAGTTTAAATTTTAAGATAACTTTTCGATCCTTATTACTTACTTTTGATTATTTTTTGAAATAAATAGTTGTAATGACACTTTGTTTCAATGATTTCAGCCCTTAAAGCTTTTTTCATCTAAGGCTCTATTCTCGAGCTCCAAACCTGTTTTAAAGTGGGGTAAAAATGACGTTCTCGTGAGAATTTATTCTCCGTATAGGCCTAGCAAGTAACCTTCAGAATTCATATACCTTATGCTTTCGTGTGAATTTATTCTCCGTATGGGCATAAGGGAATGTTTCCTCTCGAGTTTAACTTAGTCCACACGAGCTTGTAATGGAATTAGAACTAAGGGTCTGGCAAGCCTAAGGGGGGCACCAGCAAAGAGAACTCGGGTACCTTTTTAGAACCTAAATCGGAAGACTACAAGGAGTTAGAGCTCACTCTAAATCCTCATTGCAAACCCTAGGCTGCTTTGATATTATTTCTTGCTTTATTTCAAGTTCAAAGCATGTGAATTAGAAAATTATACGGTTCGAACTTGTTCAAAATCAACTTGCAGGATAGAGATCATGTCCGGGTAGGAATACTAAGCATGTGGGGGTAGATATCATGTGGGGTAGGACTTTTTATTTTCATTATTGTTATGACTTTCCTCACTAACTCTTTTCATCTTTGTTCTTTTTTTTTAATTTTATTTTCATCATCTGCATCATTCAAAAGAGGTGTTGATCCGCAAAAAATTTGTTCGTTAAACGTAAATAATTTGCATTAATGGACAAAGGGGTTATAATACAAGAGATGAAAAACTCAGAAGTCTAACTATGGTTCGAATGAACCGGATTTATGCTGTGCACACCAAAAGTCAACTTTTTGAGATGGCAAAGGTTGCAGGGGCAAGATGAGAAAAATGTTACCAACCTAGGGAGTCCCTTCAAAGATAACAAGAACAAGATGGTGAAACCCTAGCTAAGCTGGAGACCTTTGTTGATGAATTCGAGAAACAAGCAGATAAACTTCAGATGGAGGGCTCCAATGGCGCTTTCGTTAGGAACAAGCTCAGTAGAGAGTGAAAGTTGGAGATGCATTCATTCGAGATTTTCTTGGAGCAAGCAGCTCATCACTTGCAGAGTTTAGCCAGATAAGCCGAAGCAGTTCGACATGGCATTCAACCGGCGACAGAAAAAGACTGAAGACGAATCAATCAGTCCGAAGCTGTTCGGGGTCTATACCTTTAAAATGTTTTTGTCTCTTAAGGCGTAACACTTTTGTCCCCAATAAGTATTATTTATAATAATAGACACATTTTTAGATCAATACCTCGAACATTGCATGCATTATACATTTAAACATATTTTGCATTTTGTTATTTTCATTTCTTTACATTCGCATTAACTAACAAAAGAATGTCTCCTAATAAAGGAACAAATACATGATATACAACCTCAAGCATTTGACACCCCCCATCCGCATAACAACAGCTCAAAAAAGAAGAAGATGGAAGCCAGAATTACTCAGATCGAGGAGAACATGTTAAAGCTCAGAGAGAGTTGGAAGACAAGATAAACCAGAGCAGTCGAAGTACTCTGGATGCAATCACAAAGAGCCATGAGTCCTTGGTCGATCAAATTATGGCCAAGTTATCTGGTCTACATCAAACGAGTGCACCTGGGGCAGGTTCATCGGAAGGGGTAACTATACCACCTACCCACAAGTGGTTGTCTCACCTGGAATCTTACCGAAACTTCAAGGGGACTCATCTGCTATAAAAGTGAAGGCCTCGTCTGCTACAAAGATACAAACCGTTGTATCTAACCCTGAGAATAATCCGAGTTATTACCATATACCAGATTTAGACAAAGATGACAAATCAAAGAAGATGTAAGAGAAAATCAAGCAATTGGAGGACCAAATGAAGGTAGTTAAAAGAGATCATGACTACCATGGAGTCGATGATGCAGAACTATGTGTAGTCCCAGACTTAGTTCTTACTCCAAAATTCAAGTCCCCAGAATTCAAGAACTTTGACGAGAACAGTTGTCCATCCGCTCACATCACCATGTTCTACTGATGACAAGATATGGAGGAAACGACCAACCCTGATCCACTACTTCTAGGAGAGTCTGTCGGGCTCAGCAATCTGGTGGTACAACCAGCTTAGTCGATCCCATATCAAGACTTGGAAGGACTTAGCCAAGTCATTTCTGGAACAATACAAGTATGTCAACGACATGAGGCCAGATCGAGTTATGCTAAAAATCATGTGAAAGAAACATAATGAGAGTTTCATATAATACACACAGAGATGGAGGGATTTGTCTGTGCAAGTTCATCCACCCTTGGATGAAAAAGAAACTAGGAAGCTGTTTGTACAGACCTTGAAGACACCTTACTTCGGGCACTGGTGGCAATCACATCAGAAAGCTTTTCATACTTGGTTATGGCTGGAGAAATAATCAAGTCAGCCATAAAGCATGGCAAAATTAAGGATGGGGAGGCCATTAAGAAACCTCCTATAAGGGAGAGGGGTGGAGAGATTAACAACATCAACCAGGTCAATATGGGTGTTACAATTTCCAACCCAAAATCAGTTGCAGCTGTACCGTTAGGTACTTCTAAACAAGATTCTAGAGAACCCAGAAAGGAAAGGGAACATTTTGACCCTATTCCCATGACCTACAAAGAGTTTTACCAGTAACTTCTTGACACCCACGTAGTGTCACCATACCCGGTGGAACCCATGAAGCACCCATACCCCAAGTGGTATGATGAGAATGCTCATTGTGAATATCACGGCGGTGTCCTAGGGCACAATATTGAGAACTGTTACACATTCAAGAGAATCATGCAGAAGATGCGTAACCAGAATTGGATCAACTTCAACAACTTGGGGGCATCCAAGTGAAGAAAATCATTTCATCATTTGAGGCATTTTGTCTGATTTTGTTTTTCATTTTTTTTCAAGTTTTTGTAAGGTCATTTGAATAAATTTATGTTACTTTAAAGATGACGAGCAATGAATCAAATTTGTAAACTTGTAATTCTTTGAATATCAACTGAATTAAAATACTCTGTAAATGATTCAGAGTTACAGATCTTTGACAAGCCAAAAGGACTTTGATCTTACCCAGAAGTTACGCTCAAACACCGTATCATTCTCTTGCAAATAACTAATATAGCCTTCCCTCTTCATAAGGCTTGGTATTTATATGTGCATAGGTGCAGACAACATGGAGCATCTTTTGCTATGACAATTACTATACTTTTTGTTTAAGACGTTCAGTGATGATCATGATCTTTACAGATGGAATAATCGAGTAGAAGAATCTAGTCTAGGTCAGTTGCTTGGAAATTGAATTCTAAAGATGAAATTTTTT